TCCTTCCTTCCTCCCTCCCACCCTCCCTTTCTTTGCTCCCTCTTTTTCTTCCTTCCTTTCCACCCTCCCTCCCTTTCTGTCCTTACTTCCTCCCTCCCTTCTTCCGTCTCACTTTCCTTACACCCTCTTTTTCTTCCTTCCTTCCTTTTCACCCTCCTTCCCTTTCTTTCCTTCCTTCCTCCCTCCCTCCCTCCCTTTCTTTGCTCCCTCTTTTTCTTCCTTCCTTTCCACCCTCCCTCCCTTTCTGTCCTTCCTTCCTTCCTCTCTCCCTTCTTCCCTTCTTGTCTCCCTTTCTTCTTCCCTTCTTGTCTCCCTTTCTTTATGCCCTCTCTTTTTCTTCCTTCCTTCCTTTTCACCCTCCTTCCCTCCCTCCCTTTCTTTCCTTCCTTCCTCCCTCCCTTTCTTTGCTCCCTCTTTTTCTTCCATCCTTTCCACCCTCCCTCCCTTCTTCCTTGTCTCCCTTTCTTTATGCCCTCTCTTTTTCTTCCTTCCTTCCTTTTCACCCTCCTTCCCTCCCTCCCTTTCTTTCCTTGCTTCCTCCCTCTCTCCCTTTCCTTACACCCTCTCTTTTTCTTCCTTCCTTCCTTCCTTCCTTCCTTTCCCTCCCTCTTCCTCTCCCCTTCCCTGGGGATGTTTGAGGCGGGAGCTCCCCTACCTGAGTCCAGGACATGGTTGTTCCTGAGGTCCAGGATCTGTATGTAGCAGTTGAACTTCAAGAGATTGCCCAGCTGAGCCGAGTCTTGCAGGCTGTTGAGTTTATTATCAGCCAGGTAAAGTTCCCGCAGGTTCATGTTCATTTTCAGAGCCGTCGCTAAGGACAGAGAAATAAACCAGTGAGCAAGCAAGAATCTGGGCAGGAGAACAAAAGTTCCACTCCCCCGTGGCTGTGTCAGTACTGGCAGCACGGCGCAACGATGCAAAAAAACCACAACAACATGAGAGTTGGCTGCAATGACATCAGGGTGTAAGTCGGGGGGCGGGCCTCAAAAATTCCAGCAACGGGTTCTCTCCCCGCTTGCTGGGTGGGCGTGGCCTAGTCAGACTCCTGCACCACGGTGGGATTTCCGCCTTCCCCATGCTCCGGAGGCTTTCTTCGAGCCTCCGGGAGGGCGAAAACTGCCTTCCCCATGCTCTGGAGGCCCGTTTTCCCCCTTCCCCGAGATTCCGCAAAGGCCCTGCATTTACCTGGCATCCACAACGGGCTGCGTGGAGACTCCTGGGAGGGGCAGGGTGGGGGGGAGCGGGGCGAGGCAAGGGTGGGATTTGGAGGTTCTCTGAACATGCCATAATGTTAGCTACGGGTTCCCCCGAATCTAACTAACTAATCTCACCCCTGTAAGTCTCATCCCAAGGTTCAAGTGGAGAGATTTTTTTTATCATGGCACAAGCTGTACGTCATTCTCTGCCCCAGGGACACCCCGCATCCAGGCTGCATTAAGAGGCCTTCCTTTCCAGCTTCTTTTTTACCTAACGCTCTTTTAAGCAGAGGGGGAGAAAAGCCCTGTGGATTAAGCTGGAGGCCTATTGAAGGTTTCATTTTGCACGGTGATCAAAGGATGCGTCGTGTGAAGGGTTAATACCACTTTATAATGCCTTGGTAAGGCCACACTTGGAATCCTGCATCCAGTTTTGGTCACACAATGTAATAAAAAATGCTGAGGCTCTAGAAAGTGCAGAGAAGAGCAACAAAGAGGATGAGGGGACTGGAGGCTAAAACATATGAAGAACGGTTGCAGGAACTGGGGATGTCTAGTTTGATGAGAAGAAGGATCAGGGGAGACATGATAGCAGTCTTCCAATATCTCAGGGGTTGCCATAAAGAAGAGGGAGCCAAGCTATTCATCAAAGCTCCAAAAGGTAAGACAAGAAATGATGGATGGAAACTTAGTTCCAGCAACCTGGAACTAAGGAGGAATTTCCTGATAGATAGAATCAGTGAAATGGCTTGCCATCAAAGGTTGTGAATGCTCCATCACTGAAGGTTTTTTAAAGAAGAGATTGGACAGCCATTTGTCTGAAATGGTAAAGGTTTTCCTGCTTGAGTAGGGGGTTGGACTAGAAGACCTCCAAGGTCCCTTCCAACTCTGTTATTTCCCAACCAATTGTGGCTAAGCACAGCACGCAGCCCCAATGGATGGAATTAGCTTGGAGGGAGGCCCTTCTGCATTCAGAAACTTAGGGGAGAAAGTTTTAAATGCTGTTTTCTCTGAGGTGGCCTAAGTCCTCTGCTTGGGATACTGTACAACCTGGTGTAGTGTGTCCTCTTTGACCGGGGGGATTGGATAGTAAATCTCCAAGGTCCCTTCCAGAGCCGAGGTGGCGCAGTGGTTAGGGTGCAGTACTGCAGGCCACTTCAGCTGACTGTTATCTGCAGTTCGGCGGTGCAAATCTCACCGGCTCAGGGTTGACTCAGCCTTCCATCCTTCCGAGGTGGGTAAAATGAGGACCCAGATTGTGGGGGCGATACGCTGACTCTACAAACTGCTTAGAGAGGGCTGAAAGCCCTATGAAGCGGTATATAAGTCTAACTGCTATTGCTATTGCTATTCCAGCTCTATTCTAATTGACTGATTGATTGATATAATCTAGGGGTCTCCTGCTTGAGCTGGGGACTGGACTAGAAGACCTCCAAGGTCCCTTCCAGAGCCGAGGTGGCGCAGTGGTTAGGGTGCAGTACTGCAGGCCACTTCAGCTGACTGTTATCTGCAGTTCGGCGGTGCAAATCTCACCGGCTCAGGGTTGACTCAGCCTTCCATCCTTCCGAGGTGGGTAAAATGAGGACCCAGATTGTGGGGGCGATACGCTGACTCTACAAACTGCTTAGAGAGGGCTGAAAGCCCTATGAAGCGGTATATAAGTCTAACTGCTATTGCTATTGCTATTCCAGCTCTATTCTAATTGACTGATTGATTGATATAATCTAGGGGTCTCCTGCTTGAGCTGGGGACTGGACTAGAAGACCTCCAAGGTCCCTTCCAGCTCTATTCTGATTGACTGATTGATTGATATAATCTAGGGGTCTCCTGCTTGAGCTGGGGACTGGACTAGAAGACCTCCAAGGTCCCTTCCAGCTCTATTCTGATTGACTGATTGATTGATATAATCTAGGGGTCTCCTGCTTGAGCTGGGGACTGGACTAGAAGATCTCCAAGGTCCCTTCCAGCTCTATTCTAATTGACTGATTGATTGATATAATCTAGGAGTCTCCTGCTTGAACTGGGGACTGGACTAGAAGACCTCCAAGGTCCCTTCCAGCTCTATTC